CATAGTTTAGCTCACATGGTCCAATGGTATGGTGCATGTGTTAAGTGTTGTGAAAAAGTGGACATGGTATTGAGACATGCGTTAAAATGATTGGAAAAAACTGTAATAGCTAGGGATTGACACAACTGCAATTGCTAGTCATACAGTAACAGTGCAAATTCATATACTTATTTTGTGTATTTGCGCTGTTATGACAAGAAATTACAGTACATGTTAACCTTCATAAGGTTAAATGTGTGCTTGTCTACCAGTTATGTCAATCCCTGTTAATAACCTTAAAATATATACTTCAGTATTGTTCATGTGTGGAATAATGTCTGACTTAGCTGAGTAGGCTTATATTTACAGAAGAGTACAATTTGAACATTGAATTCATTGTTCAAAACAATTGACCATTAATGTAAAGTACATAACATAATTAACATTGTAATGCTAATTGCGCTAATAAAAGTTACTTTTTAAGTTGACAGAGAAAAACATAGAAGGACTGCATTTGGTTGAGTACCTGTTGCATTGTCTCCAGGAATACCTTCTTGCTTAATCGGCATCACTGTCTCTGGGTCTTCATCGAATGTAGAATCATCTCTCTGAACAAAAGCTGTGTTCATTATTGTATAATCATTTTCAGGAATACATAGAGAAACATTAATAGTAAATTCATGCTCCATCTTCTCTTGACAAATGTGTCCTTTTACTCTCATCTGTCCAATCTGCTCCTGTTCTCCTCTTTCTTCCTCTTTGCAGGTTTCTTGTGATGGAGCTGACAAGATAGAGGCGGGGACTGCAAAACTTGAGGTTTTTTCAAGTATCTGCAAATATGATTTTTTTTTCAGGAACTCACTTTTTCTTCAGAACCTGGGGTAATGACACATTTTTAAACCAAAATTTAGCTTAAAGATGAGAGTAAATGAAATTGTCTCTGTGGGTGGTTGTATAGAACATTTGATTTCTACATTAGGTATACCTTTGACTTACTGACTCCAAAGAAGAGTATGATATATGATTTGTCATAATTATTTTATCTGCAAAAAGAGTGGAAACTTTGTGTTGCCTAGACCAGTGTTTCTCCAACCCTGCCCCTGAGGACTCCCAGAAAGTCCATGTTTTCTGAACTAGACTTAATTTTTTTTCTTTTTCAACACTGAATCTAATAACTTCATCCATCCATCCATTTTCCAAACCGCTTGCCCTTTTGGTTCGCGGGGGTTCCAGAGCCTACCCAGGAAGCCATTCACTCACATTTAATAAAATGTGTATTGGTCAGTCTCAGGCAACTTTAATTTTAACAAAGTTTTTAAGTGAAAGATGATTTGCTTTTGTCTGTCTGGTTACACTCTGTAATTTATTAAAGAAGTTGATAAATTATGGACCAATCATAACTGAAAAAAATGCTTTAGCTTTATAAAAAAAAAAAAAAACAACAACTGAGCACCAGGAATGAACTATGGAAAGGTTTTCAAAATTTCAGAATGAAGCGTAGCATTAGTGAGCAGGGACAGGTGACACGTATTTCCCCAGTGTTCTGGGTAGATTTTATTATTATTTTATCTGAATTAATTTGCAATAAGGATATTGCGGATGACACTTTGATAATAACATGCATGATAAAGCTACGTTTCATGCATAGTTATACATACAATGTCCTGGGAATAGAAATGGCACAGTATCGGTAGAATGGCCCATACACAGCAAATGGAAAAGCAGGGTTGAACATTTCATAAATCCTTTATGGTACAAGGGCAAAGCAAGATGACACAGCTGGACCCCCTTACCCGCCCCAAATAAACAGAATAACCAGATGACTCTCAGTAGCACTTCTATCTATTATCTCTTCTCAGGACTAAGAACGTGTTTACCGGAGCTACCGTAATATGCACACAAACACATCGGCAGCGCGCGATAGGCAGCGCGCGATCGGCATCGTGCGCATGCGTGCACATGCCATGGGTAAACGGCAGCAAACCGCTGACTACGGCGGTCCCCCGCCCCGCCCCCTCCTTTTATGGCATTATGACCACGCCCCCTCGGGCAGTGTAGGGTGGCCGGGGCCTACTCCGCTAATGATGCTTATTATCCTCGGTTTCGTACGAGGTGACACTTCAAAGCAGATTATTAATGCGCTTCCATGAGAGAGTGAAATTTAAGCTCCATTTGCTTTGCAAGGTTTCATTGCGTTACCGCCGATCGAACAGAAAAACGCCCGCGGAGGCGGACGATCTAAGCAAGTCAATTCCCAGACAGATAAAGAGGGACGTGGGCAAGCCGGAGGCAAGAGAGGGGTAGCCGTGACGCCCGGTAAGTCACCGGTTAGCGGCGGCTGATTACCGATCCGAGTCTGGCGTGAATTGGAGTTCAATCGCAGTCAGACCGGCCACATTTAATTTATTTCATGATTTGTTAAATTATATTCCCTGTGGGGTTTAATGGAATACCGTACAGTACAGTGAGGTAGTCCTATCGTTCGCGTCTTCATGCCGACGTGTCGAAGGAGGGATATCGGAGGGCGATCTCTCCCCGGACCGCAACCTAAGGCCAACTTGTCCCTTACTGTAAAAGGATGCGTTTGCTCGGCATTTGAGTCATCTCCAACTGCAGATGTCAATATGCGTTCGTTAACGGTGTTTAAAACGACACGTTTCAGTTTCTTTAATATAATAAACAATTATGTAATTGGACATTACATAAAATTGTGATGCATCATCTGACGCGTGTGAATCAGACGTGCGGTTCGAGCTAAGATGCGGTGGCTTTCTGAATAAGAAATAGGTGTAACTCTTGTTAACTAGTGTGTCTCGCTGCGGCTTGCGGGAAGTGGGGGGTGAGGTTTTTTTGCCGTTTTTCAGGCTCTCCTGGCTTGCGGGGGGGGGGGGGGGGGGGGGTTGGATGTCCGACCCGGCCCACTGTACGTCACGGTGCCGTACAAGCCCCATCTCCCAGCACAGTATTTTATATGGCTACTTGTGCCCCACTTCTGCAGACTGGATCCCCTGTTTGACCCCTCTCATCTCCCTTTCTAACTGCCAGTGCCGGTCAAACCATTACGCGACATAGGCGGACGCCGTTTCTGAGGGGGCGCCGAGTTAGCAAACCTATTTCACGTATGTCAGGAAAGGTGCGTGCCGGGGGCGCCTGCTGTGAAACTAGCCTAGGGCGCCAGAAGGGCTTTGATCAGCACTGCCTCCTCTCACGGTATACTGTCACATGAAAGCAATGACATTTGGCCTGTTTTAAAAGTATTTTTTAAAAGTTTGTGATGAGACATCAAGAAAAACAAGACATTTTGTGGCATGACTGAGTCTTTTCATTTATTAAATCTTACATACAATCACAAGCACAAAACATAACTAATACTCTGTCTGGTGTCCCATACAGTGATTCTCTCTGTTCTGTGCATCCCAGCCGCAATGTTTCTGTTTTTCCTTATTGCTAGAGATTAACAAAATTGATGCTTCTTTTTCTAACTTCTTTGCATATCATGGACGAAAAGTAGTTTAAAGTTGATGGATCAATGGAATGATTTTCAAAATCTGTGTGTACAGTAGTATTTTTATCATTTAATTTTGCTTGCTTTGCTGCAGGACACTATGGAGAATCACATGCCTACCTGTGCAAATGAGTCACTCGCAGATGCCATCCAGCAAGGGGGGGGCAGAGTATGCTGCGAGGAGGGGGAGGGCAGGCTGGGCCAGGGCGAAGGAAGCAAGCAAGGGGCCACGGAGGATGAGAAGCGCGAGGAAGAGGGAGGCCGAAGCCCCCATCTCTGCTCCAGCCCAGCATGCTTGTGCATGTGTGGGAAGGAGGGGTGTGACCAGGCCAGTGGCCCAGCCCTGGGGGAGGACCAGCAGCAGGACGGGGGAATCCAGCTCCTGGTTCCGAGTGCCCACGGATCTGAAGAAGCAGTGGGTGAACAGCTCCCCTCGGAGGCCCCTAATACTGCAGTACGTCTCATTCTCTCACTACGTGCTCCACAGCCTGGCCGCTCCCTCACGTGTGTCCCTTTGGCTTAGCATTCGCACAGCAAATTTTACACTGTCTCCAGCCTACAGGGAATGAGACCATGATGGAGCCAGGAGAACAAGATGGGACTGGATGGAGGGAGGAGCCAGAGGAGGACCCACCATCCCCTGGAGGAGAGGCAATTTCGAGCGACAGGGAGGAGGAGAGGACAGCCCCCAGCCTCAATGAAGGCCTGGGAATCACGCAGGGGGCGCAGTCTTTCCCGGAGCTATCTCCCAGCCGGGAATCTCTCTCTTCTGAGCTGCCATGCTTTTCCCAGGAATCGGGAGATGCTCTGAAACCTTGCTCCATTTCCAGTGGGAGTCCCAGCCGGTCCTCAGACACACCAGAGGGTCACCACGGAGAGGCGGACCAGGCCCCCAGCACAGATGCCAGCTTGGGCCCCAAGTTCCAGCATGCGGTGTGTTTGCCGCTAGTGTCGGAGGGTCTCAAGCTGCTGTGGATCCAGTCGGAGCAGACGGATGATCTGGACGGCGTGCCCGAGCTAGTAGAAGTCTTTAACTCGTTTCCGTACCCAACGCAGCAGGAGGCTGCGTCACTGGCCCGTCGCTGCGCTCTGCCCCTGGACCGGGTCAAGGCGTGGTTCATGGTGCAGCGCATCCGCTACGGCATCAGCTGGGCCACAGAAGAGATCGAGGAGGCACGTCACAAGGTGTTTGGCCCACCACCACCTGAACCATGCACCCCCCCGGCAGGGGGTCATCCCCTAAGGGATCCAGACTCGGCCCCACCGTTTCCGCGCACACGGGCCGGCTGTTTACCCCCACACACTCACCACTGGCCGCAAGGGTCCGCCAGCCCAATGTTTGCTGTAGCGCCCCCGTGTGGTCGACCCCAAGGCCGAAACGGAAAATTGAGGGCACGGTGGTGCGGCATTGACGGAAGCGGCTGGCCCTCTGAGGCGGAGATCCGATGGCTGCGGGCCAAGACTGGACTGGCTCACATCGACATCCACCGCTGGTTTGCTGACGGTCACCGGCAGCAGAGGGAGCTTATGAACAGGCTGGAATGGGACCCGCACCGCTTGTGGCCTCCCAGAGCCAGGAAACGGGGACACCGGGTAGGGAAACGCTTCTCTGGGGGGCGGGAGGCTGGAGTTACACGTGATGCAGAAATGGATGACGGGGTGGAAGAGGGGGGCTCCGGTAATGAAGGCCCACGCTGTGTCCCCCCTCCGTCCTGCTCCCCTACACTGGGGGCATGCTGCCGTCTGCGCAAGAGGACCAGGGAACAGTTGAAGCAGCACTTCCTGCGCTGCTTACGGCCCGGTGGTAAGGGTAACCGGAACAGCCTGAGGACGGACAGTGGGCGGGAGCGGGGAGTGGCCAAGTCAAAGAGGCAGGGCACAGGAGGGGCGTGGCCTGAGGAGGAGGGCTGGTGCAACTTCGGGGAAGACGCCCCTCCTCATGTCTACAGCGTCGGACACGGGGGCACTGACCACCATGCCAGGGCACCCAACGCAGGGGTTACAGACTGCAATGCAGACCTGCACCATGAGGGGGCATTGCAGGACCGAGGCGTGGATGTCATGAGCCAGGAGAACCGGCAAGGTGAGGTGGAGGTCAGTATCAGTGACTGAGACATGCTGTAGGACACGGCTGGTTTGGCACGTTCTGCTGAGCTGCTCAGTGATTTTTAGCTCTTGCTAGCTGAGTTCCGGTTAAATGTTGAAGGCCTTGTCAGTGTAGCCTCACTGACCATATACAGACCATAAGAAACGTGTGAAAGACGTGTTACCCCATCTGGCCTGCTGTATGGATCAACATGGATAGTGTGTTATTCAGGGCTGTAGCCTTGTGTTCAGGGTCACGTGTAACCATGACCCCCTTCCTCTCTGAGCTGTGCACCTTGGCTACATGAAGGAGAATCCTAGTCTGGAGAAGAATTCAAATTCACTTGTGAGGGTCAGATTCCTTTAAAAATGATCCCTGTTACTAGGAACCACACCTGCATTGCTGTATCATTTGGGTCTGAGCCTTTAGATTTGTCCACTCGAGATTTTTTTTTTTCTTATAACTTGTTTCTAATAAACTGAATGAGGTAACTTTGTCTCTGAAGCGTTACTCTTTGCATTGTGCCGAGTTGCTTTCTAAGGGTCAGAGTGTGAAATTCAAGAATGAGGATGGCGTAAGGAACAGGGGGTAGAACACTCTTCTCCGCTGTGCTTTCTGACATTAGCCATCACTGAAATTTCAAAGCATCTTATACACCTGACAGCTTTTAAAACATTCATCATGACATGAAACCGACATACAAACATTATTGTTAAAGGTTTAGCATTTAATTTGCTGTACATAAATGCGGAACACATCTGCACAACAAAAACTTAAAACCTCTGTACAAAGTGCACATACTCCTCATTTGCTAAGTAATATTTTATTTACATGTGTTTTATCTTACATTTATTAATACATTACAACTTTACCACCCTACATCACTCTATGTTTAACGTTCCTTTGGATCAGGAAGTGGGTTGGAAGAATGAGGATTAAGGATTAGGGGTCACCCTCTACCCCATACAGGTTATGGGTTTAGGGTCATTCCCAGTATTCGGTGATCTGGGCGGAGTCACCCCTGTCATAAGTTGAATGCCAGCTGTCGGAGCCTTCGATGATGCGGCGCATGATGGAGGCAGATGTGATAAGCATGTGTCCCACCGCCTGAAGCATCGCGGACGCCACGCGAAGAGCCTCTCTGAAAGAAAGGGAAGGACAGAGCTGAGGATAGAGCTGGTCTGCCCAGCGATGGAGAAACCTGCTCTCTTATAAAGCAAACTTTTGCTGCCCCACTGCTTAAACCTGCTGTGTTCCTACCTATCACCAACTGACCTCAGCACCTTCTTGGGGCCCAGGCACCTGAAGTCAGCGCTGACAGAGTATAGGCCCTGGAACGTGGCTTTCACGCTCAGCGAGCCGAACACGTCACGCGGGTTGAGGCGGTAGAGGTCAAAAGTCACTCGGGCTATGTCACGTCCGGTTCTGGGTTTTATGTTTGTAGTAGAGAATGTAACTCTGCTCTGCTTAGAGCCCTGAAGCGGGAAATAACCAGAAGTGGGGGAAAAAAAACAAAAAACATTGAATACAATGTTCAGAGAATATTAAAACACACTAACACTGCCATAACAGACATGGCTATTACACATAGTGGAAGTTCCCTACTTACTGAGAATTTCACACCTTCAGCCACTCGTGTGAAGAGGGAGAAGTATGCTCACACACAATCATGCACACATATAGTTTCCCACGCACTCACTCACAGGTTCTGGGCTCCATGTCTGTCCGGGCTCCAGAGCCATCAGTACAGTGTTGTCCGGGAGGGTCAGGAGGAATTCATCTGAGTCGACCTCTGTCCCATCCTCCTCGCACACAAGGCTCAGGGAAACGGCAGAGAGGAACAGAGCGTGGGCGGCCTGGAGGTGAGGAGAGGCGAGGCACTCAGTGACAGACATGCTAAAGTCCCCCTTTAGTGCCCCCTGCTGTTCACCGCTATCCCCTGCTCACCCTTTCCCTCAGCTCCTGCATGGTTCCTCCTGTCACGCCCTTCCTCAGCTCCCTGTTGTGGGAGCAGACTCTGAAGGGCCTCTGAGGCACTGACCACACCCTCCTAGAGACTGACCTGAGACAGACAGACAGAAAGAAGTGGGTACTTCAGTCAGCAAACATACTAACAATGAGATTGGGGTTGTTTTTGTGACTGCACACCTTCACTGTAACGTACAGTTATAGACTTTCAACCAGAATATCACCTAGGCAAATGTATTTATAAAACTGAATCAACTATATATATAACTTCTGATAATACATGTGGAGGTTTGCTGATGGTAATTATTTAAAGATCCTCATAATAAATATTACAACCAGGGGCGTCGTTTCGTTTGGCCTCTTTTAGGGGGGCTTTAGCCCCACTCCCAAATAACTGTGTTTATGAATACCTTTTTATATTACGTATGTTTGCATTCGCCCTCCCCTCAGTAAAGACTCAGCCCCCGTAACCATTCACCCTCTAATTACACCCCTGATTATTAAAACATAACAACTGGATTTGAAACGAACATTTCTGTAAATAATAGCATATATAAACCGTACTCACTTTATCAGTGATGATGTAGCCTCCATTCCCGGCTCCGAACAATGTTACACTTCTTTCTGTTACGTACTATTCCTCTTGTTTATGTCTCGACCTTAGACGTATATGTGGAGATGTGAGTTACCAGCGATAGTGGGACCCTGCTGTTGTCTCCTACAGGACTTTAGACTGGTGTGATTCATTTGAACAGAGATAAAAAGGATCGAAGTCCCTCGATGTGTTTCATATGATATGCACTAGCTGTTTTCGAATAAGGATAACGTCACAAACTCAACAGGGTGGCATGAATGGTCACTGACATTCTGGGATTTCTACAAAACAGACAAAACCTATACATCAGGTAGAAAACTGATACATTTTGTGTAATTAATATTTCCGTTTCCCCACTCATTCTAAATATCCACTTGAAACGTAAAGGTTTCTAGTGGTTACTAAAATTGCGGGTTTGCCCCCCCCAAAAAAAGTATGTTTTGTGACCGATCAGGCACGTAGCCTGGCCGTACAATTACGAATTTGAACACCCCTCGAAATTTTGTCCAGCCCCCCGGTCGGCCCCCCACGAAACTATTCTATTCATGGCTACTGGCTCGTGTATGTCACCTGGTCACCAACATGTAATAGTTGTAACGGGTCCCCAAAAAAACTACACATCCCATTACACATGTCGCCAATAGGCGCGTGTCGCCACATCCGGCACTGTCACGGAACATCCGGCTTTCATGTGGCGCGTGAAGGAAGTGAGCAGTTTTCCTGCTTTGGGTTGTGAATAGAAAATTTGTTTGCGTGCTTTTCAAACATTAGTGCATTATTATAATGTCGCGACCGCTGTGAAGTTTGTCAGCCATCTAGTTAACTATTTCCAGGTGGAAAATTTAACGAAAGCCGACATGGAGAAACATCCCGCTACCAAAAACCGAAACACAGGTGCGTAAAATTAATTCTTTGAAATCGCCCGTCTATTACAGTTATTTCCACATTTTACTATTGATGTGTAGATTTACCCTATATACTTGAAACTTCAGATGTTGAATTTTCACGATTTGTCCCGATTAGAGTAAATGAATATTGTTTTACAAACAAATCTTTATTTCTACAGTTGCGTAAACAAGCCAGGTCATATAATTTAATTCTAAACAAACAAAAGTAGCGCAGATTAAAACCATTTTTGTTGTACTAAAAGTTAACTGGTTCTTCAGCGTATTAAAAACAGAAGGTGAGACTGTTATAATGTCACATTATTTCTTATGTTTTCTTGCTTAAAATAGTCACGAAACTTTGCAGGGCAGATTGAGGGGCAGCTTGCATATCTTTATCTTTTTCTTTAGAGGCTCACAGTCCCAGCTTTATAATCTGAACTTGTTCAAGTTGTCTGCAACCTCGACGCAGAAATTCTAACATTTTGTAATGATATGCATGAAATCATGAAGTTTTGCAGTCGTATTTAGTTTAAGATGAATAAACTCTAAACTGAGTGTCCTGGGAAACACGACTGATTTTTGGCCTTTCCAGAATGAAGTGAGTGGCCCACATAATCAGCTTTTCCATTTTGCCAAACCCTCTACTCATGCAAATATTTCTCTTTAGTGATAGTGATACATATCTTGTATATCTTTTTTTTTCTCCCCCAAAAAGAAAACGACCCCCTCCCCCTGTCCTCCTTACGCCTCTCAGCTCCACCGTTGCGGTTGGTCTCAGCCGCCATGTGGCAGGTGATGAAAAACAGAGATGTGCTGCACTATGGAAAGCTGGAAGAGTTTGTGACGTCCATCTCTGATGCCATTCCCATGCTGCTCTCCTGCCGGCACCGGGCCAAACTGACCCTGGGTCTCCGAGCTCGGGTGAGAGAGATGGGATGGGGCTGGGCAGATAAACACATGGTAATGAAGTGTGCTTTGAATGCTTCTGGTTGTGGCCAGTGGTTGCTAAGTCTAGTCTGCTTGTTGTCAGCTGGTCCTAGAGTTGTGTCGGGGCCGTACTCCTCCGGACTCTAGTGTTGTTCTACCCCACTTGGAACGCCTGCAGCCCTTGGGTGGCCCTTCAAACCGCAGACGTGTAGGTGACCCGAAATGCCGTCACACTTACAGCCCAAAGTCTACCTCCAACTCGAAATGACAGGTTTCTTTCATGAGTCCTGCCTGTCTCTTTTGAAAATCTGTTGCAAAAGGATGATGTCAAGGTGCGAGAAACAATTTCAAAATTCCATGAGCTGGTGCAAGACCTCCTCAACAACCCTGCAGAACGAAAACACTTTTTCCAGGTGAGAACCCCCCTCTCTCTGATCCATTCTGCTGTGCTTAAATTCTTTCTGAGTGGCTGCATTGTGCAATGAGCATAGACCAGGGGTCTCCAACTCCGGTCCTGGAGAGCTACTATCCAGTAGGTTTTCTGTCCCACTTGGCTTCTGATGAGCCACATCTGTTCCTGGTATTTACCCGAGAACAGGTGTGGCTCATCCGAAGCCGGGTATGATAGAAAACTTACTGGACGGTAGCTCTCCAGGACCGGAGTTGGAGACCCCTGGCATAGAGTCTTACACAGTGAGCTCTGATACAGGGCTAGATTTGGGTGGTGGTTGGTAGAATGTGCATGTGGAGGCTCTAGTGGGTAGCACTGTTACCTCAGACCTCCAGGGTTGCAGGTTTGATTCCCACCACCACACTCTGTGTGGATTTTCACAGCCACAGCCCAAAGACATGATGGCCGGTGTCCTGGCATCTCAAAATACCCATAATGTGTTTATGTGCAATAGAATTGCTTCATACCCAGCATGTGTGTCTGTCTTGTTCCTGTGCTGCCTCCCAGTCCCCCCCCCCCCATGACCCTTTCCAGGATAACCAGTTAGGAGAAATTGAATTAGAGGAAAACCAAAATCCCCATCATTGCCTCTTGTGTTCTTTCTTCCCTTGTCTCCCATTCATCTCCTTGTTTATTTTTAAGGCTCCATAAGTGACCATTAGATGATGTTTGCGTAAGTAATCAGACAAACAAAATAACAATCCTGTTGTGTAACTTTGATAGCTTATTCAGGACAAAGTGGTCAGTGGAAATATTATGGTGCCTCAAAATGTCACATTTGAGTCTGAAATTTAGAGGCAATTTGGGTTCCTTTTCAAATGGGTTCATGCGAAAAACTTGTGGATTGGACTTGGCTGATTTTATTTGTACTTTATTTTGCTCGAAATGTGTTTTGGATGTCTAATAAAACCGTTTATGTCAAAACCCAAGTTTTGTTATGGGGTTTTGACCCCATTTTTCTTTTGGTGGGCTGACATCCCACTTTCCTTTCGCCTGTAGGAGGTATTCCCCGTAGAGTTTGGTCCCCAGTTTGACGATGCCCTGGAGAAGTTGTTGTGGGAATTTCTGGTGCGGCTGGACCAACTTCTACCCGTGCCTGACCTGGCCCAGGTATGGCGGCACAGATACCACCTTCCTCAGTGCACTCATACTCTAGAAAAGTTTGCAGCTTAGACCAAGAGTGATAAACAGTGCTGTGAAAAACGAGTGATTTCTTGTTTGCGTTGCTGCTTCAGACTGTGCAGTGGCTCAGCACTGCCCACGTTGTCCTGGAGGAATGTGCACAGTCTGTGTCTCAGCCCCAGCTGCTGAGGGCTCTGCTCCAGCATCAGAGGTGCCTTGGTCACTTGAGCTTGCCTGGTAGGTGATGGTCATAGGCAAAGTCCTGTAGTCCTGCCCCTGATCTGTTTCGCTGCAGTGGTCCTGCCTTCATTGCTGTTGCTCCGTGTGTGATTATTTTGAGCGATGTCTGTGGTGCCTTATATGAACTGTCCATCTCTGCTGCTTGTACCTTGTCTTTCAGACCTCTCGTCCTCTTTGGGGGACTCCATCCTGTCATCGCTGTCCCTCGCTCCTTCCGGGAGAGTGCCGAATGTCAATCAGCCGTCAGACGGGGAATCGGGTTCCAGGAAAACTCCCGGGATGCAAGACTGTAGAGGAGCTGACGAGGGGTCGTGCGTCCAGCCGGCCGCCGAAAGGACAAAGGACCCTTGCGTGCTTCTCACCGATTTAGCTGAGAGGAAGACGAGAAGCACTCTGGCATCGTGCCGTCAAGGGAAAGAAGATTCCAGAAAAGGTACAAAGGGCTCTGAGCACGATGAGGCAACGAGGGGGCCAGGGTTACATTCTGACATCAGTCTCAGGGAATCGGGCAGAAAAGAACCTCAGGAAGAAACCAGCAAACGGGCCAAGTCAAGTTACCAACAGGAGGAAGAGGATGAGAATGAGAGAGCCCAGAGAGAGAAGCAGGGTGGGGCCCTCAGCAGGGCCTCTGGGCAGACAGATTGGACCCAGTCCTCTCTGGTTGCTGCCTGCCTCAACAGCCAGCCACGGGTTCTGGTTAAACAACTCAGCTTAGCAGATATCCATGCCCACAGCAGTGTGGCCAGTGGAGCCCCATCTCCAGCGAAACAGGACAAGGGCTCGTCAGAATTCAGAGTGAACCGGAAGAGGAAGCTTTGGATGACCCCTAAGAAGTTTCTGGAAGCAGCAGAAAAAGAGTAAGAGTGGGGGACGGGTTTGAGCAGACGATTAGCGTTCTCACACCAATAAAGGTTAATTTGTGGTTTTCCTGTCTGTGGTGCTCATATGAATTTCAATATGCAAATGCTGTCACACAATAGGAACTCTGCTGACCGCCCTGTCACGTCAAGTGCATCTCCTGCCATCTCGCCGTGTACCCAAAAAACAGGTAAACATCATCTCTGTTGGTGTATACATAGTCACTCATCCTAGCTTAAACCCGAACATACTGTGATGTTCAGAATTTAAAAAAAAAAAAATCGCGCGTATAAAACACACCCACACACTCGCGGGCGCCGATCCTGTCTGTTAGGGAGGACCAGGTCATCTCCAGAAGACAGTGATGTCGTCCTTGATTCTGAAGATGAAGAAACTAAGAATTTCAAGGGAAGGGTGAGTAAGGGCTGGTTTCCACGTAATGCGGATGTGGCACAGCACGCCGTAGTGCTCGGCCGTCCGTGTTCCTGAACGTTCAGGCCTCTTGCTCCCCCGCGCCTGGCCAGCGTGTACTTGATACCAGGGCTGACGTGGCGCTGTAGGGTGAAGTCGCTCATAAGCCATACTTCATGTGTTTACAGTACGTAAGGACACACAGGTATATAGCATTGCAGTTACTAATGTTTTGTAGTTTGCGCCTACCTGGGAGTCTTTATAATCCTGTAGTGAGGAATCCTATAAATACTGGTATTTTTGAACTTCCTCGGTCATCTTTTCTTCAAATCTGCTAGTCATGTTTATTTTCAGTCTTATAAGAGTGTAGAAGATATGTTTATATACCATCTAATCTCTCTTCTGGTTTCCTGCTCCTGTTCTCCTGGCCATTGAATAATTAAGGCATACTTTCATCACATAATGGACCGCCCATGTTTTTTAATTTTTTCTTTGAGTGTTACGCACCTTGTGTGTGATCGTGATCCTCCTAGTCTTTACACCCGACCTATGTGACAAATCGCATCACGGCAGCTGTGCACACTGTGACATCCTCCTCCTATCCAATGGCAGCATTTCAATTTGATAGATGCTTTTCAGTTAAGAAAAAATTTACAAGAGAACTGACCTCTACCTCATCTTGCAGCTGTTTGCCAAGCGGTACTACCGGACTAAGCACCACACCTATGTACCGACACTCAGAGAGTTCTGGAAGCCCAGGCTGGCTAAGCCAGGCCTGCTGTCCCTCAGCCGTGCTCACAGGTGACCAGCTCTGGGTGTTGTCCCCGCCTCTCTGGCCTGGAACCAGGACTGCGTAGGTGCTGAGGAGGTACCTGGCTTTCATCACACGTGATGTGGGCACTTAAACATAGACTGAGATTGTTTATAAGCTGAGGACACTTGTGGTTCTGTGGAGAAAGTGCTGCAAGTAGAGAAGTATGGGCTGGAGATGATTTAAATTGCCCTTTCCACCTTTTTAAAACTTGCATATATGCACATATATGCAAATCATAACAATTATGCTCCAATCAAGCAAATTCTGAAGATTTAAATGCATTAAAAATTGTGAATTTTATTATAATAAAGTATGTAAAACCTGGTGTCTGTCCTGTAAGCCTGCTTACAGCAACTGTGCATTTACATGTGTGGCAAACTTGCTTCAGGTACAAAGCTTTTGAGATGAGGTACCATAAGGGGTGAGAAATTGGAGAATTGGCCGGCGGTCCTGTGTTTGGTTCATTTTGGTCAGAGGCGAAGTCCCAGATGAGAGACTAGCCTTTGATCTTTGCATGTTTCATGGGAGGGGGTCCTTTTTGGTTATGGACAGGGTTGCTGGTTGGCTTTCTGGAAGCCAGGCCAAGCTACACTAGTGGGGCAGGACAGTAACATAAGAGGGGTGGGGCTCATACTTCCCCTCCCCAAATAGTCAGGTCTTATGGCATGGATAGGTTGATTAGGAAGAGGTAGCCCACAGGACAAACATAGTTGGGGATGGTTAAGTTGAGGGTGGGGCTTCTCCCAGGCAATTATGGAGCAGCAATTAGTGACCGCATGCTATGTCCAGTTAGTTGACTGTGAGGAAGCCATGATCATAGAGCACATGGATCCCTGCAGGATTTCCGCCTCACACAAGAACGTAAAGGCTTCACTAGAGGAATCATTTTTTTCTTAAAATGGCTCCCTTCCATCTTAACCCTTGATCGAGTTCTTACAGCACCTACTTCCCATATATTTATCAGGGTCAGTCAGTATCCCTGGAGATGTGGGATTATGGACTTTGCTCAAACGCCTGCGGATATGATCGCCTTCCAGACACGGGCCAAACCCACTGAGCTACACACCACCTCTTCCTTCCAAACCATATTTCAGAGGCCAGGGACAACCACTGAGCCAAGCAAGCCCACTTAGGAATGACGGACAAACGGCGCCACATTCATAAACACATTTATTCAGCAGATATGAGTGAAGATCAGAGAGCAAGGCCAGTCAGCATACCTGGGACAACTCACTGCTGGCCACAGGATTGTATCCCACACCCTTCCAGTCATGGACACTGATCCCTAAACCACTGAGAATCTCTAAGGGGGTAGAATGTGATGCGGTTATGGTAGGACACAGCCTTCCTTTCTCCCGGTTCTTCTCTGGCTGCTTCACAGTCTGCAGCTCATTCCTCCAGTGACTGTGATGGTCTCTCCAGTGACGTAAGAGGCATCCTCAGAACACAGGAAGGCAATGACTGCTCCCACTTCCTCCGTTTCGCCCAACCTGGAGTCATTGGCCGTGGTTAGCAGATTTATTCACATTTTCACCAATCACATCAAAAAGGGAAGTGTTTGTATTTCTCATGACATACTCGTCGGGACACACCTTTTGATACTCAGTTGTTTCTTAAACTCGTCCATTATGCCTTCGTTCTGCCAAAGCTGAGAAAGTGGAGGGTCTGATGAGCACTGGGTTATGTGTCGGGAATGGGGTATGGGGGGGAATGGGAGGAGTGGGGGAATGGGAGAGTGGGGGGAGTGGGGGAATGGGAGCAGTGGGGGAATGGGAGGAGTGGGGGGAATGGGAGGAGTGGGGGGAATGGGGGGAGTGGGGGGAATGGGAGGAGTGGGGGGATGGGGGGAGTGGGAGAGGACGAGTGCAACTTCTCACCGCAGCGCTGAAGCGTGTTCTGATGACACCCGGAGCGACACAGTTTACCCGGATGTTGCTGGGAGCGAGTTCTGGGGCCAGAGCCCGGGTCAGTCCCAGAAGGGCGGTCTTGCTCACGCTGTAGGGTCCCAAGGCCTGCAGCAAGAAGCAAAAAAAGCCACCCAGATTCCCAGCTGCATGACAGTAACCACTGACAAACCCTAAGGCAGTTTCTTTAATCAAGATGTTTTTCAGAGCATGACATTTATCATTAGTGTCTGGAATCAGCCATCACCTTTCTTGCTTTCCACTAATTCACTTAAGGGCCACTTTTTACATTTACTTACTTACTATTAGTCATTGTCATGTATTTATCCCTGTTTTTATCCACCGGCTCACCTGTATGGGCTGGTAACCAGCAACTGAAGACACGAACACTATCGACCCGCCCCTAAAACACACAGGCCAAACATCACGTGTTTAGGCATATTTCTTCAAAGTCTTTATTGATATTTCTGTCAATTAACTGATTATGCAAAAAAAATCAGTTAACATTTCAGGTGAGACATTGCCATCACTGCCAAATGAATGACTTTTTCATTTTGTTCTCTAAAGAACCACAGTTTTGCTAATTGTGGTTTAAGAAGTCAGTAACAAATTTTAAGTTCAAAAAACCTGGTTGATGTAGGCTGGAATCATTGTGCAACTATGTAGAAGTGTGTGAAAGAACACGTATGCAATGACCATGATGAACCTGTACACAGTGGGTTGGCACTGAGCCTTAGCAGCCTGAGGCTGACCAGGTACAGTACTTTTGGTACTTTCCCTTTTCCATTAGCTTCCGGTCGAATAACAGTACCATACATTCCAGTACCTAGAGTACCAAACAAGCTGGGGTACTTTTTGGTATTTTGGGGTGGGATTTGGAAATGCTTTCTTTTCAACTGGTTATGTAAATAGCCTGCCTCTGAAAAACACTATAACTGCTGACTTGGGAAAAAAAAGTTACAAACTCAGAAAATGCACAAAGTAATAAAAGTAATAATGGATGCATAAACAAATGCAGAGACCCAAGTTTCAGTTGTGATTGGAATAGAATTATTAGAAAAGTATCGTGATGTAATTTTGTTTCAAATATTGGGAAATTTATTAAGCAAAAAAGGAGTTAAAAAAAATTCTCATAAATCCATCTAGGAGTGATTTAAATAGAAATGATTGCCTCATAAACGCATGCAGTGCTCATGCACAATTAGTGCAGGTTTAAACTGTTTTTTTAAATATATACTTGAAAAGGAAATCCTTAATATTGCAAAGTTTGCCAAGTTGTTTTCCCTATGACAGTAAAAATGCTTTAGTGAATCTTAAACTCCCTGTGTTATAATGCCCATACAGTCTGACGGTAAGAAAAAACCTGGTCTCAATCTAGGTGACTATCATAGTTCTTGCAATGTATAGAACTGCATGTGCATAACACGCATTGTTGGTATTAATATCGCCCATTGTCCAGCCCTATAATATACTATAGCCGTTTTTCAAATTTGCTACAAGATACCCCGCCTTGCATTGTGATGTCATTCAGTGCCGGGACCAGTTCTTATGGCAGAGAAAAACCAGCACCTTGAAGTACCAAAAGTAGGGCACCTCATTGGTTCCCAGTCTGCATTAACTAAGCACATGGTTTCAATATTCTCATTAGTTTCCCTGTTTCTGTATCCCCTCGGGTCACCAGTCTTGGTGAGGTTGTGGACAGTACACTTTCCTTTTCTTCTCATGTTCGTAATATCTGTCAAACTGCTTTTTTCCCCCATTTACGCAACATTGCCAAGATTAGTCCTGCCCCCTGGTAACATCACACTGAGGTCCTTGTAAAGTCTTTGATTACCTCCCAGACTGGCTACTGCAAAGCTATTCTAGCTGGCAGTCCTGAAAATCTTCTCCACAGACTAAAAGTCATTCAAGACTCCGCTGCCAGTATCATCACTGACTAAATCTAAATAATTTGTTTGCCATCCCCTGCTAGCTTCCTTCCAAAGCCCTTCATAACCTTGCTGTTATGTCTGTGACCTCCTCCACCCCTACTCTCCCTCCCGACCCTTCGCTCTCCCACTGCACTCCTCCTTAGTGTCCCTCCTTAGTGTCCCTGGGCGCCAGGACCTTCAGCCGCGTGGTTCCTAAATGACGGAATTCCCTCCTTCTCTGGATCTGTCAGCTGGACTTCAACTCATGCCTCAGCACTCATTTGTTTAAGCATTTTCACTCCCCTGACCACTATTCACCACCTCTGCCGTCTTAACCTGTGCAGTCTTATTGTGGTTTTATATCTGCGTTTTCATCTGCTTTACTATGATATTTATTTTTTGTTAGGTGACGTTGAGTATATTATTATAATGATGATTATTATTATTAGTATTATTATTATTAATATCCATCACAAACAGCCTGTATGGGCAGCCTGCTGATGGTCCATCTTGTGTGATTTTGCTGACTGTTCAGCTTTAGAGAGCTTTATATACAGTAATAAATCCACTGTGGCACTTCGCTAAACACCCCAGTTACCCCCTGTGAGCATCATCAGTAACACACTTACAAAGTGCACTTTTCAAAGTTCTGTGCAGAGCCCACGGCCTTCTCCTCACCCTCTCTTCTCCATTTGAGGCACCACCAGTTTGGTCAGAAGAAAGGCTGACTTCACATTTACATCCAGGATCTGACAAAATGATGGTGGAGAAATATCCTTATCAGAACAGGTGGGTGATGACTTGGCTTTAGGACCTGAGATGCACTGTGTGCATGCACTGGAGGATGATAATTCTATTATAGTTCTACAAATCTATGTCCTTAGCAGCTAAACAGACTAGAAATATAATTGTTGCCAGTGATATACGCTTGTAGTGTAGCCAATACCTTGTCCCACACTTCCTCTGTGGAATCCATGATGTTTCCAAAAAAGGGATTGACTGCAGCATTGGACACCAGGATGTCTACACCACCACACTGCTTGACCGTCTGTGGGAATTAGCACATGATGCATGGAAATCTGTAATCTGTGAAATGTAATCTGTAATGTTAATATACCAAAATGACATGGTCATATGACTATATTACATGAACCTTCCAATCAGAGTATTGATGCACAGTGTCATAACAGTATGTATGTACTATACAACCCTATCTTTCAGTCCACAGATGATGCACTGGTATTTTGTGGGTAAGCAATTAACTATATGAACCCTCAGTGCAGCGAATGCACTAAACTTCACCGGGTCAGCCCTCACCATGTCCACCAGTCTTTCTCGGTCCTCGCTCCTTCCTACGTTGCATGTCGTGCCCGTCACCTGAATGCTGTCACCCTGCAGCAGGGACACTGCCTTCTCGACGTTGTCCTTCCGCCGGCTGCTCACCACCACGTGAGCCCCTCTCAGCCCCAAAGCGCGCGCGGCCGCCAGACCGATACTGAACGGAGACAGTTTGCGATCATATGCACACAACTGCCGCAGTTCACAACTAAGCAGAACTTAAAATGCACTGTTTACAATCGTCTAGCACTTAAAATGAAACTGACACCATTACCCATCAGTCGATGCGGTCACTATGGCGACTTTTCCAGCAAGGCTGCTTTGCGACAACATCCTTTTTCCAGCGTTCTGACTGAGTATTAGACTCCTACCCACGCACTTTAACATGTCCTGAGAAGAGGGAAAAGATAAGGCTACTGCTACAAGTACACACGCACAGTAATGCTGCCTATGTTACATTTTTAGCGTCACTTTTTACATTGAAGGGGGCAGGACAGTCAAAGTATTTAGGTTAAAGGTAGCATAGCAGACCATTATGTAACAACGCGGACTTTTGTTCCCCCTTCGAGAAACTGCTTCTTTTCCTCCCTTAGTGTTTGCAATAACTAAAATACTAAAGCGCAACTCTGAATGTCCTCAAGGTAATTAAGGTACGAACGAACCTCGTAAACGACGCCGAGTCTTTCCCACCGCAAACAGCGTATATTCTATGCTCAACTCCAAAGTCCGACAACAATCGCGTTAAAGTTTCCCGACGCGGTTATACGTCACGGGACATGCGCTGCCCGAGCTGTAGCTCCGCCTCTGTATTATCATGTCATATTTCATGTAATTTGGGGGTTACGTAGAGCTGGAGTTGCTCTTCGTCTTTCTCGTTATACCCAGGGGCGGACATTTCAGCTCCAGAAAATAAAAATTCAAACAAGGATTTTGTTTCAACCAACCCGTTGAGTACTCTGTGACTGTGACTCTTTATGCGCAACTTGTTGGTTGAAACAAAATCCTGGTCTGGATTTTTACTTTCTGGACCTGAAATGTCCGCCTCTGATTATACCGTTGTGAAACTATATGTTTTGCTTTTATTTAGGATTTAGCCAAAGACATTATCTATTCTAACATTTTGTTAAGTTTGAGCCAAACTAACTTTATTCAATTAAAATGAAGAGGAGTTTGGGGGAATTTAAAGCCTCATCCACGTGTAAAGATCACAGAGTTATAGTGAACGGCGGAATATCTCATGTAAATAAACCATGCGTTTGTTTTATCAGAAGAGTAGCTTAGGTCTGAGCGTCACGGTAACCATGGAGACGGCAGCCATCACGGAAGAGTCAGACACAGGCGGGCTACGGTTAGATAAAACTTAAGAAATAAGTAACTGACTGAATAAGTTCAGAGGAATCTTTAACTTGGATTAATTAGCATGTGACATTTATAGATTTTGTTTCAAATATGGCTTTGGCTTCACTTGTTGTTTTCCGAATAAAATTAGATGACAATAATGTGGATATACATAGATATTCATGCAATTTTCCATACACAACTTTTGAGCTAAGATGTCCTTTCACTACCAGACCATCATATAATGACATACTGCTTTAAAAAAAAAACAAGAATCTTGTTTTTGAGCTTTGCTTTTTGACTATAGAGGATGGCCATTCTATGCATGAACCTTCACAGTGGCTGGACAAATTGCAGCAGAAGTTAGCTATCATGGTAGCTGTTACCTGGACTCACAAAAGGACACCCTTTCCTGTTACTGTGAAGGCTTCCTGGGAACTGCACAGACATCGCTGTTTATCAGGGATTAAACACAGTTCATCTTAGATGTCTTCTCTCCCTAAGCAAAACGTAATTTGTTTTATACTGACAATTAATTTCCAAACAGTCCACCAGGGACTTCTCATATTTTTCACCTTCCATGCTCTAGTTGAATTATAGTGTTCTGCCAGCTTGCCTATAGTTATTTGTATTTATATACTATATCCAATAAGCAAAATCTTAGCATGAATTCTCAGAGACAGTAGTTTTTCGCAGTGCATGTAGCATCAGCAGTAAGTAAACCATGTAATTGTTCCATGTTGCGAAAGGAGATGGTGGTGGACTTTAGACACAAACTGTCCAGTGCATACAAACCTCTCACCATCAAAGAGGTCCCATTTGAGAGGGTGAAAACCTTTTGCAATCTCAGAATCTATATCTCTGATGACCTCATCTGGTTGAATTAGGTACAGCCTCAGATATCTGAAGCAGGACATCAGCTGCACCATCTGAGACAGCTGCGAGGGTTTGAGGTCTTACCAGCCATTCTTATAGCCTTTTACTCGTTAGAGAGCATCCTCACTACAGGAATCACAGCCTGGTTTGGTAAATGCTCAGGCCTGGTCTGCAAAGCTCTGCAGAGGGTGGAATGCATCTGTAAGGCTGATCTGCCCTCCCTGCAGGACATATACCTCAGATGATGCAGGAGCAGAGCTGCCAGAATCAGCAGGGACACGATCCACCCACATAGCTACCTCTTTACCAGTCTGAGGTCTGGAAAGCGCTTCTGTTGTCTATCAGTGTGAACTGAGTCATTCAGAAGGAGCTTCTATCCTCAAGCCATCAGACTACTTAATACCTGACAGCTGTAATTAAAGATCATTCGCTCGTTACTCATGCACCATGCACTTTTCATTTATTATATATTTATAATACTGCATCTTTGTCTTATTGCTTTTCACTAATTCATACTATGGCAGAGTATGCATTTCACTGCAGGTTATAGTTGGGCTGTATACCTTGTATGTGAGTCCTTGAAAAATGTGTTTCCATGATGTATTGTGCCTCATTTTTGCCTTCTGAAAGAACCAGATTTTAACTGAGTGAAATGCAACAAAGGTGAATATTGCTGGAACTAATCTGATATTGTAATACAATTTGTGTATAGGTATGTTTGTGCGTGATTTGTTCCTGTTCAGTTACGCTTGCTTTTGGTTAACCCGTCATTTATACCCTGGCTGCTCTGTGGGGTTAAACACAGCAGGAAGCAGAACAATTGTTTTTGGAGTGCGGTGCGGAGGGGCAAATGAAGAAGGAAGGGCGAGTTGGACTGGAGAATAGCTCTCGCCTTTTTTCCATTATACATTATTTTTGTATTTAATTTTACCTGAATTCAATTTACAGTACACTTATAGTAAGGAGCATAATAATGATGCATTGTAATTCAGCAAATGTCTATACAGTATATATGTAGAATTTTGATAATATTCCCAGAATTGTATGTTTCCACATGTGTGATGAAATACTGCACATGCATGTACAAATTGGGCAGGAGTTGCATATCAAATAGTGACGACAATAGTGACATGTACTTTAAAAAAAAACAAAAACGTGAACACACATAACCCACTTCCAGCTCCAAAAATGAAGAAAACACCACCATAAAATTTGAGAAATCGCACTTAACATTGTTTCGCATTTCACTGTTTATTTGGTATTTTTTATGTTTAACAATCAATATGTATAAAAGATTTGACAGTAAATCAATAAACTTAGCTAGTCACATAACCTACACAAGTTAAGGATTTTTATAAAATCCATTTTACAATAGTGACATGACAAAGCTGAAAAGGTGCAGCTAAAAGCCAGTGCCAGGTGCAGCTAAAAGCCAGTGCCAGGTGCAGCAGATGCCTTTTGAACTCATAACTGATTGGCTAAGATCCCCTGGGTCGCAGCGTGGCCCAGTTGCACAAGACCGACTAGCCTATTTTTTAACATATATTTGCACATTGGTAAAGATTAACCATATAAAATTAACATAGACACAGCTTTTGTATTTTTCCATAAAACATTTTTTAAAATTAAATACGTAACATTAAAATTAAACTCTCCTCCTGGGAGATAAAACATTTTTTTTTATTAAATATGTAACGTTAAAATTCAACTCTCCTTCCTCTGGGAAACAGGAATGGTAGCTTCTGGAGCTGTGGTTGATAGCCGGAGATAGTGGCTGGACTTTGGCAACTTGACAGTGAAGCCTTAAGCTTTAGCCCTGCCATGTGTTCAGTTAATAAAGCAAATAACCGTTTGTTAAATATTTTAAAATAAGATAAGCAACAACTTGTACGAGTAAGTAAAAGAAAAAGTAATTTGCCTCCACGTTTGATCCTTTGTCATTCTTTAGGCAACAACTACAGAAAATACAAAGCAATCAATAATAAATCAAGAAACAATGGCTATAATGGCTAAAACGTTGTTTCACAGACTAATTAAAATGATTAGTGAGGATATTTACTGAGGATAATGGACTCAGATAATATAGATTTAGATATGCATACAAATGTAGTCCCGGTGTGACATTAAACCTTATTAGATAATAATAAAACCGTGTCAGAGATAAGACAGAGTCTAAAAACAGATTAAAGCAGGATCTCTTAGGCTTGTGTGGATGGGCGTGTGACAGGGATGAAAGATAAAAATTTTGTACATGGCATGCATGTGTGTAAAATGAAGGCTGCAGCTTTACGTTTATCTCCAGACTAAAACATCCAAGCTGGGTCTAGCTGTCATTACCAAACACAGTGTTCAGCTGCTGAGTGACCCTGATGAAGGTGGTCCTCCGGCTCAGCTCCTTCAACTTGGCGGCGCCCACGTACGTGCAGGTGGAGCGCACCCCTCCCAGGACGTCCCGAATGGTTTCCTCCACCGGGCCCTTAAAGGGCACCTCAACCGTCTTCCCCTCTGAGGCCCTAAAACAAACAGACATGGATGGATGCAGAGGTAAATCAAGGGGGGGGGGGCATTATACACCTTCAACAGAGGCCTGTCAGTTTGGCTTGTGGTCTTACTCCCGCTTCACCCACCCTCCCGAGATGAACATAATGCACAGATCCTCTCTACACCCCCCTCATATCAGCTCTGATCTCACCTGTAATCGGCCACTCCCCCAACATGTTTCTTCATGGCAGTGTCGGAGCTCATGCCATAAAACAGCTTGTACTTCTTCCCATTCTTCTCGATGACCTCGCCACCACTCTCTGTGTGACCCGCCAACATCCCGCCCAGCATGACGAAGTCCGCACCGGCACCTGACCGTCACACAACACAGCCAATCAGACAGTACGTACTGGCTGTCAGTCCCAAGGAACAACCAATCGGGAAGAGACTTTCTCAACCTCGGATTACAAACATCTGTGGTCATTGGGCAAAGGGTCAAAACAATCCATCAATCACAACGTGGCCGATTAGACTCACCGAAAGCCTTGGAGACGTCCCCGGGACAGGTGCATCCGCCATCCTAATTGGCAGAGAAAGGAAAACGGGGAAAGACAAGATCTGTAAGGGATCTGTAACTATAATGAACACAAATGTGTGACAAAATTCTGGAAAATTTTCTCATTGCCTCAAATTTTTAATATTAATATTGTATTTTATGATATTTTTATAACTGTTAAAACAGCTTATCATGCCATGAGGTTTAACGCGTCCGGCGTTAAGCATAGCAATCGCACAGCATCTGAATGCAAAGCGGCTTACGGATATGATGTGTCCTCCCAGTCCGTGGGCAGCGTCGGCGCACTCAATCACAGCACTGAGCTGGGGGTACCCTACCCCGGTCTTCTTACGCGTCGTACACACTGACCCTATGGTGTGGGGAGTGAGGGGTGGGATCACAGACAGTCACACACGGTAGGGGGCAAGACAACATACCATGCAGGGTGAGCAGTAACAGCAGCGCCCCAAATCACCTGGTCCGATGCCCACTTTTATGACGTCAGCACCGGCGAGAATCAGCTCCTCCACCATCTCCCCAGTAACCACGTTCCCGGCCTGCACCACACTCATCATCATCATCATCATTACCATCAGGGCCACCGTCACCCACCCTACCCTGCACAACATGCTTCCACAGAACAATAATCCAACGCTTTCCCAACCCCCTTGCAACAACAGCAGCTGCCATCTAGGGGTTCAGAGACCAGAGACCTAACCCACCATGATGGTGTGCGAAACGAACTTCTGCCGCACGTCCTTGACAAAGCGGACAAAGTGCTCGGAGTAGCCGTTGGCCACGTCCACGCAGATGTACTCCAGCTGCGGCACCGCAGCCAGGACCTGGCTGAGTTTCTCGAAGTCCCCGTCACCTGTACCTGTGCTCACCGCCATACTCTAGGGGAAATGACACAAACAGCAAGCTCATGATGTAACCGTGTCTACTGATGCCCTTTTAGGTAGCTTCATTACTGCCCATATGCTGCCTGGTTCTGGCAAGCTATCCATGCAATTCGCTCTGAATGAAAGTCATTCACTTGTGCAAAAAGAAAACTGGCAATCTGTTGTATATCTACAGGAAAAAATATTCGAGATTTTTTCCCCATTTGCTTTACATATATTATTATTATTATTATTAAAAAAAAGCATCTCTGACCCAAATCATTTTGTATTCTACTAATTTTTTGAGAAATGACTGTTGAACCCTCTGAAACACGGTCAAACCTATTGCAAACGCCAGAGGATATCGAGCTGACCTTGAGGCATTCTGGGTGCTGGCCGGCAAACTCTTTCCAGTCGTCCACTGAGTAGTGTTTCTGGATGGCCGTAAAGAGGCAGAACTGAGGAGAGAAACACAAAAAGTTACAGTGTGATGCTTAAAACTGGAGGGAACAAAAGAAGCCCAGAGGAAAGAGTGTGAGGTGCAGCAGCAGCGCGCAGCCGGGCACCTTGTGCAGAGCCTGAGCCATTTCAAAGGTGCCCACTGTGTCCATGTTGGCCGCGATGATGGGGATGCCTCTGTAGCTGAGCTTGGAATTCCTGAAGGAGAAGCTGCGCATCAGGTCAACCTGGGCAGAGGACCACCGAGAGGGGGGCAGGGAATGCAGGGAGGAATGGAAACAAAAGGCATTAGCATCAGTGATTCTACATGAGGGTGACAGTTAACGGTTAACTACCAAAATAAAGAAAACATTTATGTAAATGAGGGATACAATGCACATTACAAGGTAGGATTTTACACACATCTTCCTGAATAGATTAGGCAAATATCAAATGTTTATAAATTATGTATACAAAATTCTGGTCAGGTTCATCTGTCCTTATGACTACCATGAGATGCCAGAAACTTTTCATACAGTACTTTTGGTACTTTCGTTTTTTCCACTGACTTCCAGTCAAGTACCAGTACGAAAAGTTTCAGTACCGAAAGTGCCAATCTAGTGATGTGATTTTGTTGTAATAAATATTTGGGTATTTATAAAACAAAAAAGGAGTTAATAAATTTCTCTCAAACCCATGTTCGAGTGATTTAAATGGCAAGGATGAAAATGATTACGACTGTCTCAGAGAACACATGCAGCGCTTGTGCAAAAGGAGTGAGAACTGGTGGCCTAATGGTTAGGGATGTGCACTTGTAATTGAAACATTGCTGGTTCGAATCCCAGACTAGCAAGGCACCACTGAGATACCCTGAACAAGGTACTGCTCCCTGGGTGCTGACTTATCTCTCCCCTTCTATGTCATGATGTCATATATGGGTTAAATGCAGTGGACACATTTTGTTGCTGGGTCAACAGTGATCACTAAATTCTTAACTCTCAAAAGCAGTGGAGGTAAAACTTTAAACTGATTTTTAAACATATAAGAATCTATAAAAGGAACAGTTAAAATTGCAAAGCTTGCCACATTTAAAAAAAAAAATGTAAAAATATTTTAGTAAAACTTCACCCCCCCTGCACTATAATGTCTGTACAGAATTTAAAGTAAGAAAAGGCCTTATTTTAATATAGCTGACTAGCAATGTAAGAATTGAATTTGCATAACATGCGATGTTGGTATTAATATCGCACATCCTCTGGTTCTATAATGTACTACAGCCAATTCAGTACCCTGTCTCAAGTTGTGATGTCATTCGGTGCTGGTACCAGTTTTTCCACCAGTGGAAAACCAACACCTTGAAGTACTATACTTCTGACACTTTCACGAAGTACCAAAAATACCGTACCTGGTGTGGTGGAAAAACACCCTTAAAGACAGGTGATTGTTGGGGCAGGTCTGACAGGAGCGTCAGAGACAAAAACAGACGGACTTGCTGATGGTTATAGAAACCATGGCTAAGGTGATGTTGGCATGGAAACCTGAAGACATGAAGGCCAAACATATAAGGCCATTCTGGGTGATTCTGACAGCTTATAGCTCTATGCCTTGATAACCAAAGTCAGCAGATCTCCACCCAATGTAACTCTCAATAAAAAGCTGGTACAAGGGATCACTAACGTGAAGGGGTTTGTGGAAGCTTGTTGCTTTTCAGACTCTTTTAGAGACTCTGCCATTTTCTTCAGTGAATAGCACTGTACTTTGTCTAGATGCTCTAACATGCAATTCCCTCTTGGAATGCATACTACAACCACTAATCCATCTAATGAATCCTCCAAAACTGTCTATCCAATACAAAATTGCAACCAGCCCAGAGTCTGCAATTAGTCTACTGCAGTAATACAGGGTCCAAGGCTGAGGACAACATTGACAAAGAAGTCAGACTAATAAATAATCGTCTGGTTAAGAGGAACTTACTATTTTTATATTTTGTACTGTTTTTCCGGAAAAGCAACAAAACGCTACAAATGAAATCCATCTGTAAGAGGGGGTGCACTCCAACCTCATTGCGGGACTTCAGCGTGCTTCGCTTGGGACGCAGGAGCACGTCCTTGAAGTCCAGCTTGACGTCGTTTTCGATGCGGGGCATTGATGCGGCTCCCGGGTCCGGGTGCTGGGCTTCGTCTGCTCAGATAGTGTACACCCATGTTGAGAGATTTAAGGAAAATACTACTACACAACTAATAAAACATGCATTAAAAGTTTTTAAGCTGGTGTTAAATAGGAAAAAAAAATCCACCTTAGTTATTTTGGTTTCGCTTTTTAGCAAAGATGGTACAGAACATCGAACAAAAATGCTAAATAATGCAACTTATGTAAGCAAACCCTAACAGATACAGTCAAAGATGCATCTGTGGGCCGATCAAAATTCAAGGTTAACAATGACTAACTACATCTAAATATATAAAAAATCGGGCGGCACACACTTACAGGAAATTAAGCCGCTATGTGTGCATATTTTACGATTTCGATATAAAATTAAATCTACAGAAGACTTTCAGTAAAACTTACCGCAATTGGTTATAACTTATAACTTAAGACCCCACCAGTTTTCTTTGGACGCTCAGGGTTATTAAAGAGTAAAAGCTACCTTAGCTAGCACACATTCAGAAGGTGCAGTTTAAAAAGCAGCACGCGTCCGGAAGTACAAGATAAGCAATAAAGGTATTTCAAAAACATGGGAAATAGGAAGTTAAGTTCATTTAACAGGTAGCGCCTCTGAAATATTAGCCTTTGTAACTGCCTATGCTTTCATGCAACATACTGTTATGGCCTTTGTCACTGTCACTAGCATCTTTTTTCCCGATAGGCAACACGCATGCGCACCGCCTATGTACATGCGTACATTACTTTCCATCGCTCTGGCCGGCATAGGAAGTGTCGCTATAGGATCTGACAACCGTGAATGTGCTGCACGAGTTGAGTGATAAGTATTAAAGTATCCATCCATTCATTTTCTGTAATACATCCAACCATTTTCTGTAACTGCTTATCCTATTCAGGACTGTGGGGGTCTGGAGCCCTATCCTGGAGGCTAGTGCGGCAAGGCAGGGAACAACCCAGGATGGGGTACCAACCCATTGCAGGGCACACTCACACACCACACACTCACATATGCACACCTATGGCCAATTTAGAAACACCAATTAAACCCAGTATGTTTCATTATTATTAAAATAATAATGGAATTTTGACTATCTGCCAGACCTGCACCCTCCCCAGTTACAGAAAGTTAAGGCCCATCAAACTTGCATAAATTTTCATAAAATGGCTAATGACTTTAATTGTCTTTATTGACCTTGGCAAAGCCCCTCGCAGGAAAAGGACATACAGTACAGGCCAAAAGTTTGGACACACCTTCTCATTCAATGTGTTGTCTTTATTTTCATGACCATTGGTAGATTCTCACTGAAGGCATCAAAACTATGAATGAACACATGTGGAGTTATGTACTTAACAAAAAAGATGAAATAACTGAAAACATGTTTTATATTCTAGTTTCTTCAAAATAGCCACCCTTTGCTCTGATTACTGCTTTTCTTTGCTAAACACCTCTGGGAACTCCTTCAAGACTGTTGGAAAACCATTTCAGGTGACTACTTCTTGAAACTCATCGAGAGAATGCCAAGAGTGTGCAAAGCAGTAATCAGAGCAAAGGGTGGCTATTTTGAAGAAACTAGAATATAAAACATGTTTTCAGTTATTTCACCTTTTTTTGTTAAGTACATAACTCCACATGTGTTCATTCATAGTTTTGATGCCTTCAGTGAGAATCTACCAATGTAAATGGTCATGAAAATAAAGACAACACATTGAATGAGAAGGTGTGTCCAAACTTTTGGCCTGTACTGTATATATTTTTTTGCTATAATATTTTTGGCTTTCAACACTTGCACATCCGTGACTCACATCCACAGTTGACTCAGATCCTGTAGTCTCTAGTGATGTTTTTTTGTGTGTTTATGGCTAATTGACACTTCCACGTTCTTACAAACTTACATAACTAGAAAAAATGCTGCTGGACTGTGCACAATGTATGGTATTCCCCAGACAACGCCTTCATCCGATCCGCCCATCAGCCTTAATGACTCACTTCCCAAACACTCCCCAACCTCTACAAGAAGTACTGGAAGGAACAACTGAAAATCTCACGCAGCACGTGGTACTGGGTGGTTATTTGGTGCTGCAGCAAAATCAACCCCCCCCCCCCCCAAATTTATTTGTGGCACCTGCTCTAAATAATCTGGCTCCCCCACAGAACCTGCAATATTAAATCACTGGTGCCACTTCTGTGGCAGCACGGGTGGGTGATTTTCCTTTCTCTTTATTCATTTGGTGTTAGTAATGCCACAGGTAGTTTAAAAACTGATTAAAAATATGTGGTTGAATCTGCAAAGTCCCAAAAAATTGTACGTTTTTATGTCATGAGCAGAATATATTTATCTTGTGTGCACAAGAAATTAGCCAAAAGCTAAAGCAGTGGTCACTGGCCCTACTTCTGAATATATGCTTTTATTCATTATTGACACTTTATTGATCCCCATCGGGAAATTCTTTTTTTTGCCTCTCCCAACTTGCTCTCTGTAGGTGATAGCAGGCTGGTCACAAAGGGCAGCCACCTGTTGCAGCACCCAGGGAGCTGGGGGTTAAGGGCCTTTATCAAGGACTCACATACATACCAAAGCTGAAGCGGTGACCTTCTGATCACAGGCACAGAGCCTTAGCCCACTGAGCCATGTCCTATATCCATTGTGCATTAAATGACGGCTTAATGTTGTGCACTGTCCCATAATGAACTGCTTAAAGCACAATATACTTGCTGTGTGTCTTATTTACAGTTTTTATCCCATTTATTTATTCCAATGCATATTGAATATGCAGAATGTAATAAGTAACATTTTAATCAAGGACATAAATAATCTGAAAATCCAAGGGGTGTTCATTGTCCCACACAGTCAATTGTTCAAAGCACATTTTACTAGATGTCTCTGATGCTATGGAATGGACACTCAGGGCAGCTGACTCAAAGTTAATGTGAAGTGCACATGTGAACGTTAACAATGTATTAAGATCACCCGTAAAGAAATCTGGAAATGCAAGGGGTGTGTAAGAGTATCCCGTTACAGATGAAATAGCCTATTTGGACAATTTTGATCTCAGTGGGTAACATTTTGAGATCTTCCAATACGAATGCTAATAGTCGATCATGTGACCGACTTGGATCTTCGGCGCCCATCTCTCCGGTGTACATCTCCCTGGAAATAGATTTGTTCTTGTCTGATCGATTGTTGCCAGCTATCCGTTGCTTTCATCAGTCGCATTGTATTTATGGAATCTTAATAATGTAACATATACAATTACATTGAAATTGAACTGAAACAAAAATACAATTTAAATAAGATAATGTAACTGCCTGCTGATCGAGCATAGGAAGGGAAAAGTTTGTCACTGACAAATACATTGACCTTTGTAGCTTCATCGTGCACGACTGGTCCTACCTTCAGAAGTGTGAAGGCGCGCCTTAAAAAAGAGGCGGAGCTACGGGAACCGAAAAAGGCGGACGGGGGGATGACGTGCAGCAACGAGATTGAATATGTAATCACTGAAAATTAAATAAGATTCACACACATAAAATGGCAAATTAATGACAAACAATGGTCAAAAAAATAAAAGTACATTCCAAGGTGCAGTTCCACTCTGTTACAATAACACAAATTGTTACAAATATATTTTGAATAAAACAATTATACTGAGATGAACTGTTCTCTGAGGTTCAAAAATACTAAACTTGATTATTTTTCCCCCAGCTATACATCCACTGCTTAGTCCACTGATATAAAAAGTGAAACTTAAAGATTTTTTTAGCACGATACACTAGTCTGTTAACATGATCTGGCTTCAGTGATGCATGATGGCAGGAGACGATATTTCCAGCTGTGCTGAAGACCCTCTCTTTAAATAATAATATGTGATGGCATCTGTAATATCTTGGTGTTTTTGAGAACTTGACGGATACGCGGTTGCATTATAGAGGGTGTCCTTAACGGATAACTGCGTTGCAGTACGAGTTGATGAGCTTGCCTCACATTTAAGAGTTTTTTGTTCATGTACTATTGGCCTTAGACTACTTCATGATTAAACTTTAAGTGGTTAAATAAATTAGTTGTGTTGCCTTGTGGCGCAGACACAGCTTTGAAACATATTTAGCTGTTGTTCTTCTTGGTCCGATTCGTTGAAACCAAAATGATTCCAAATAAATGATGTGCGTTTGTTTATCTCCTTTGTCAACCAATGGTACCTGTCTTGCCATTTCGACCATGAACACGTTTTTATTGCTGTGCTATAGGGAATTCGCTAACAGCGTTTTCGGAGGGGCAAAGCGCATCGCTGATCTGGATTTATTACGCTATAAAGTAGGGCATCATTTCAATATGAAATATAAATATAAATATCGTTTTTCTCTATTATCATTTTTTCATAATCGTGGGAAGCCATGATAGTAATCATGATTCAAATTTGATTAATTGCACAGCTGTAGGCTGAGTGACACAAGCAAACATTTATCATTCATTGGCCAGGGGAAAAGTAGTAGGCAGTCAAAAAGTCAGAAAGTAGTTGGACCAAAGATTGTATATAAGCACCTTTTCCACCCTCTGTGATCAGAACAATAACAAAAATGATTAGCGTGATTGAAGAATGTTTGACTGAGAAAGTCTGGAAATGATTCCTTTGTACAGGATTATGAAGACTCCAAGATGGCTACAAGCTGGGAGACACCAAGGGGACAGTAGGGCCAGGTGGCTCCAAGGGTGCTGAGGGGCCCACAAGACAGGAAACAGACGCAGAGCAGGAGGGAACCATGGGGATGGCAGGGCCAGGGATGGAAGGTGCCGAGGGACCTGCAGGGGCCACTGGACCTGCAGGACAGGGAGTAGAGGATGCCACTGGGACTGCAGGGCAGGAGGGCGCGGCTGGGACTGCTGAGCAGGAACCTGAGAGAGCAGTGGTTCCCCTCCAGAGGATTATGGCTGCAGGGTCCAGGCAGCCAGCACCTGGCGGACCAGGGTCTGGGTTGGTAGTCTGAGTGGTGGGTCCCTGTCTCCCCCTCCTGGACATGGAGAACTGGCCTGTCCCTCTTCTGAGCCCTGCCTTACACCACCGACTGTGAATCCAGGGCTACAGAGGGGGTCCCGGAAGCCGGACTCAGGACCGGGCCAAAAGGGCTCAACCTGGAGCTCTCGGCCTGGGCTCTGTCCAGATCCCTCTCCTCCGGGCTGGAGGTGGTTGGTGAGCCTGCAGCAGCTGGGGAGTTGAGCCTCAGGCTGGCGGTGACCTCCAGGGGACTTGACTGGAGATGACCGGAGACGAGGCAGGTGCCGGCAAGACCTTAGGCACTGGCGGGATGTCAGGAGCCAATGGGGTGGGTGCCTGTGGCCAATGAGGCAGGTGCCATCTGGACATCTGGGAACAGGGGCAGACTGGGCTGAGCTGGGACACCTGGAGGCTGAGTTGGACTGAGCCGGGATACCTGCGTTGGCCACCGTGGGTGAGAGCGGGATGTACCCTTGAGGAATTGATGTCTTGGTGTGGTAGGGAACACACCAGGGTCGGTCGCAGAGTGCGCAATGGCCGCATTTCCTAGGCCGGGCACAGAGACGGCGACCTCTCCTAGGCCGGGCACAGAGACGGTGACCTCTCCTAGGCTGGGCACAGAGACGCCGACCTAACCTAGGCCGGGCACAGAGACGGCGACCTCTCCTAGGCCGGGCACAGCGTGACAGTGGCCTCTCCTGGGCTGGATTTCAGCGGCTGGGGCAGAATGCAGGAG